ATAAGATATTAGTTTATTGTTGGAAGTATGTAGAAACAACCAAACTTTTCTCTTAGTGTAAAAATCGACAATATTTCATTTTTATTATATTTTATTTTGTAATTCAAATTTTTCGAATATAACTAAAACTTTTTTGTGTTTGCAACTTTATTGCACTGAACGACGCTTAGTTCGACGTTTAATTGCATGCATATTTTGTACAATAAATTAGCTATTAGCTGACGAAATTCAAAATTTAAATTTAATAATTTAATTTCGATTTACAAGCAGAAAACAGATATTGTTTACAGAAAAGGGTAAAGAAACAAAACGTAATTAGCTGATAAAGTTAATTTTTAACCTAATTTTTCTATAAGAAAAGTTATTTGCAGACTCTTTTAAAATCGCAAGAATTTAAGTCTTTTGCAGATGGATGTTTATGAAAATGCAAAATCAGTTCGCAAAGGTCCTATAAAGCAACAACCATTAATTGGAACTAATCGCAAACAATCCTATGATCAAAACAAAGATTTGTCGCTTATCATATTTCATAGGAAAATGATAAATGATGATTTAAATACAAATTACATAAAGCAAGAAAACGCAAAACTAATCACTCAATTACGATTAATGAATCTGAAATCATTCATACAAATAAAATAATAATGAAATGCCTATGAAATAATAATGAAATACTGCTGCAATAGGTATACTGGTAATACTGATATTACTAATACATTAAGGTTTACTTCTATAGCTGGAATTTCTATGACTGAAATTAAAACATTTTCAGATGCAAGCGATTTAAGACTAAGGAGTAAACGAATGGTAAGATATTGAAATGAAATTTTCTGAAAGTTATAATTTGGTAAATTTAAGATTAAATGTTAATTAAATATTGAGGCAAAGAAAACGCGATATGAACCAGTTGAAGCACATTGTAATTGTATTGGTAAATCTGATATGGAATGTTTTCGATTCGAATCGATCCCACCATCTGATTATGCCAGATGTATTTGTACATATGATACTGATTTGGACGTTGCTTGGCCATGTTTCAATATATCGTTAGTAACTTCTTTTTAATTAGTTTAAATTTGGAAATTATTTACAATTAATTTCATAATAATTATTCTGTTATATTATACGTGTCTAAATTATGATTAAGCGATTGAATACATTTTGTCAATTAATGCTTGCTTAATACACTTTAGCTTATGGGTACTTATAATTGGTTTACCTTCACGTTTTAGGATATGGTATGAAGAGAAATGCAATGCATGTATTGCGAATGGTTTTTGTGTGCCAATAAAAGATTATTCGATCCAAAGCGCTGCTGAATTGCCTTGTTTATGTCGGAATCGTACCACTGATTCAGTAAGCTTCGAGAATTTTTGAATTGGGAAGAATTACTAGTAATGGCTCTTCAATTTATTCAAAAGTACACTTTTACTACTGCTTTGCTTCTTTTCCTCTGAAAATTTTCTTTTGAAACTTTTTAAGTTTGACATATCATCTAAAGCTTTCCTTCATCTCTCCCTCTCTCTCTCTCTCTCTCCCTTCATCTTTCTTTCTTGTTATCATCTAACATTTATGACGAATAATTTTCATATTAAAATCTATTTTCTTGCATTTTGCAATTATCATCTTTCGTAGAAGTTTGCATTGTTTAAGATGAACAAGAACACTGAATGATATAGTGCTGATACATTATTTATGATAAGATTGATAGTAATTAAAGCGATTGAAAGGTTAATTAAAGCGATTGAATTTATATTATAACAATAGTATTATTTAAAATATTCATACAACATAAAAACTATACAACATAAAAGCATAAAAGCTGTAGTATAATTTTAATGAATTATGGACAGTCACATTTAACTGAAATAAAAGGATGCAGCATTCGAAAAACCGGATCACTAAAAGCTATCATTTTTTCGTTGATATTTTTATTACGATTTAATGAAGAAGAAAATTCAGTTTTGCAAATTTCATTTCAGTGCTTGCTTAATTTCAGTTATAACCAAAAATCTAACTCTATTGCAATTATTCCTACAAAAGTGAAAATTTCTAAAATTAAAGACTTAAAGATTAACAATGAAACAATTTCTATAAAATCTCTTAACCTTCTTTTCTGTGAATAAATTATTATACAGAAGTTCGCTGGAGTTCTAGAAATGAATAAAGAAGAGAATTTATTTTTACAAAATCGAAATATGCTAATAGTAATTCAAAATGAGTGTTATGCAAACTTTGTTTGGCTGTATGTTAACTCAATTTTATTTTCCTTAAGAAACCATATTGTCTTCGATCATTCAAAAACATGAGACATTTATGGATTATGTCATATCCGTCAACAACAACAGAAAGGCCAACAACAAGAACAGCAATGAAAACACCGACAAACCAATCAGCACGTGTTACTGCGCCAGAAACTGTTAAAGCAATGGGTTTTACGGTAGGATTATTCAACTCTTATCAATTATCCGAGCTACTATTTCGTTATTAAGTTATTAAGTATTTGTAATGTAATTATTCGTTATTAAGTATTTGTAATGTAATTAGTTTATGACTTCCACTTTTTTTTTCAAATCACTAATCAGTTCATATCATTACAATTAGCAATTAATTAAAGGGTATGACAGATGGTGTAGCCATGTTGACACGTGCTAAAGAAAATTTGATCTTTACTATGAGCGCATTACCGGAAGTACAACGAATTGCGCTCTCTCAATCTAAACGAGAATTCATCGAAATGTGTTCATTCGATGGAAAAGAATGCGATATTGGTTCATTATTTGTACTTAATAACTGTATTACTATTTTACTTAATAACTGTATTGCTGAGAAGTCTTTTAAAATATTAAATGGGTTCTGATATTCTCACTTTTTCTTGAAATGATACTATCAAACAGAAATGCTATCATCGATGATAATTGTTTGGAAGGAATACAAATAGGATGCATTTATTTGCAATCAAAGCAATATCAGAAAGACAAAAATAGCATTACAGACGCTGATTTCCAACTACACGTTGATCCGGAATTCGGGAACTGTTATACATTTAATTGGGATGTAAATAACAGTCATTCAAGTAGTAAAGCTGGCCCAATGTATGGTTGGTAATATCATTCTATTACTGATACGTTTTTTATGAAATTCATAATTAGAATTGATTAATTACAAAAATTTACGAAAATGGACTTAGGAAGGAATGAACGTCACAGTGCATATGATTAATGCTAAAATAAATTTATGTTATGACAATAAAATTAATTTAAATTCGAACGTGCAAAATACGACCAATTCGAGGTAATTAATAAACTTCTGAATCCATGTATGAAATTTATCATTATTTCATTTTATTACAGGTATTCGAGTAATATTATTTGTGAATATATCAGATTATATGGCAACATCGGAAGCTTCAGGTGTGCGATTAGCAGTACACAGTCCGACAGATTTTCCATTTCCGGATACATTTGGTTATAGTGCACCTGTTGGTTTTGCTTCTTCATTTGGCATAAAAAAGGTAAATTGCTCGTTTTCTTTAATTCAACTTTTATATCAAAATTTCTATATTCAATAAATTGATCAAATTTTGGAAGCTTTTTTGGCTTTCAAATTTTTTTCTTGAAATTTCAAAATTTCAATTGTATTTATTACACAATGTCAATTTTCTAGCACGTCGTTCAAAGATTATCCGCACCATATGGTGACTGTCAACAAGAAAAGAAAATGGATTCAAGTGTTTACATTTATGGTGACTATGATTACAATCCAGAAGTAAGCTAAATCTTAGCAACATCAATTTTATCGTGACAAACACCATCTCTTAAATATTGAAATACTTTTAAAAAATTTTAAATCAATAACATATTTTTCAATGTTGTTATCATGTAGGATATAAGCTAATAACAATGTAAATATGATAGGGATGTCATCGAAGTTGCTTTCAAAATACGTTGCTTGATAAATGCGGTTGTGGTGATCCGCGTTTTCCGGTTCCAAAAGGAAGAACACATTGTTCCGCTTTTAATGCTACAGCAAGTAATACCCATTCCTAATATTATTAAGAAATTAAATTATTTTTTTAAAGTAATATCGTAATTTTTGAAAGTACTTTTTAAAGTAATGCTAATTTTATACTTAAATTTATTTAAATTTACAATTTAAATTAGATTAGGTTGTGGAGAATATTGGGCATTAAAGGTTTGTTTAGTTTATCATTTAATAATGATTATATCTTTGAATTTTCGAAAATTATTTAAAACAGACGCCATAGATTGAATTTAAGTTAAAACCAAAACTCTGAGTTAATATTACAGGAAGTTGCTTGGATCAGGCGATTGCAGAAATCGGTGATTTTCATCGTATTATGAAGAGATTGACGAATTGTCAATGCAAACAATTATGTGAAAATGAAGTATACAGTGTTACCTTTTCTACTTCTAAATGGCCATCCGGTGGAACCAATGTTTGTAACTTTTTCTTCTTCATAAGAATTTTTTCAAAATTGAAAAATCAAAAGAAAATGAATAAGTAACTCCATCCAAACATATCATTGATAAAAACGACCAAATATATCACTGATAAAAACGTCCAAACATACCATTGATAAAAACGTCCAAACATATCACTGATAAAAAATTAAAACCGAAAACCTATAAAGAATTCAAAGCGCTAAATAATAATAAAAGTTTCAAAATAAATTAATACTTTTCTTGCAATGTAAATTTTAGCTTGGAAATTGCGATCCGAATATGAATGATGAAGAATGCAGGAGATATTATAAAGATAATGCTGCAATGGTTGAAGTTTATTATGAACAGCTTAATTATGAACTGTTGAAAGAATCTGAAGCATACGGTGTTAGTTTCATGAGTAATTGAGCACTTTTAATATATGGCTAATGTAGTAAGTATAAATTTTCGCCGACACCATTTCAAGTAATCATATCAGTAAAATGAAAATACTATTTGTTCTCCATTCTGTTTAAACTGATATTAATTACGAATATTATAAGATTTATACTAATCGTGTATTACTAATGATTGTAATAATAATTTAATGAAAATTTTAGCTTGCTAATTTATTGGCTGATGTTGGCGGACATCTTGGCTTATGGATGGGTATGCTTAGCTAATTTCTTTCCAAATTCAAATTTTGTTATTTTTTACAATTAATGAAATTAGCAATGTATAATTGTTTTTAAAAGAAATAATTAATTTAGTACTGTAGTGTGATTAATGCAATTTATTTAAAGTATTTTCACATTCATTTAGCTTGCCAGATTTAAAAAATTATAATAGTGAGATGAAAAGTTGTAATAAATTAGTGTAAGTTATCATTTCAGGTTTTAGCGTAATAACAATAATGGAATGTGCGGCATTGTTCATTGATCTTATAAAATTATGTTGCAATAAATTTAAAGAAAGACGAGCACTCAGAAAATCATCCAAAATACAGAAGGTCGAAGAGCGTTACGATGAAGTTACTCCTGGAGAAATTCCAGAAGGCAATGAGGATTTTCAATTTATTGAACATAGTGATGAAAATGCGATTGATGATAATAATTATTAATTGAAATAATTAATTTCTAATCACTAAGTGACGATCGTAATGACACATCGAATATATTAATGACTTCGATCCAGCGAAGTAATTGTATATTTGTATAGTTATATTTTTAAATGTTCTTTTAATCCGTGTAATTTTAACTGATCAAAATTACTTCTCTTCCATAATTCGTTGTAATATTTTTTTCAATGACCTCATTCATTCAATATACCATTTTGTTATCAATTGTTAAATGATAGAATAATTTCAATGTAAAATAAAATCAGAATCAAATAAAAGTTATACTAATTTGAATTAATTAATAAATGAAACAAAAACCTGTCGTGAAATAATATTTTAATGATATTATACACATATGTATAATGATTGTGATAAGTTTATTTTAAGTTTCAATTATTGTACGTATGTATAATAATTATGATAAGTTGATAATAGTATGTGATAAGTTTATTATCTATTCAGTGAAAGTTATTAAAATTGGTTATCCAAACAAACCTCTGAGCATTTTTTCACTTTGTTAAAAGTATTGATATTTAGAAAACTGAGCACTTTGATAAAATGAGAGAAAGATAATCTCTCTCTCTCCCTCTCTTTCTTATTCTCTCTCTCTCTCTCTCTGTATCATTTTCTTTCTTCCTCTTAAGATAATGAACAAATGATGCAATAACAAAAAATTTTAACTGAAAAAAAGATTTTTCAACTTTGTTCAACAATTTAAGTTCTTTACGCTTCAAACAGTTTCGCCAGGTGTTGATGAAGAGGGAGGAAGTGAAAAAAAGATAGATAATAAATGAATCAGTTAACTGATTAGTTTGTCAATTCTGATATTTGTTGTGTTATCAAAGAAAGAAATATAAGTTAGAGAAAAATAATTGAAATTAAAATTTTCATTTTTGTTTTATATAAATTATTACGCAACCGTTTGCTAAGCAAAAATTCATCTTCAAAATTTAATAGACATAAAATAATTCAAGTTAATCCATGATTATTATAATCCAAGTTAATCCATGAATATTCATATTCAAAAAAAGTCTACAACAAAGTTATAGCTGAGCACTTTGCTAGTACGAGAAGTGGAAGATAATATCTCTCTTCCCCCTCTCTCTCTCTCTCTCTTATTCCCCTCCCACTCTTAAAATAATAAACTAAAATTGCAAAATTTCTTAAGAAATTTAAAATGCAAAAAAAAATTCCAGAAATTTAAAGTATAATTGTTGTTTCGAAACAAGGAAAAAGAAGATCAGTGTCGTTGGAAATAATTTAAATTGCAAATGTATCGAGCGAACCTATTAAAATTAACGGATATTTCAGGTGCTTAGTTATTTATTTAATAGCCTTAAATTTTTTTGGAACATATTTCTATAAATATTTTCTAGTAAAGAGACCTATTATTCATTTTAAATCATTTGAAGATTTAATCGTCAAGAAAAATGATTGTATATTTGGCAAATTGCAAATGCTGACAGATTATTCTAAACCATTACATTCTATGCTTTTAAAAATTATAAAACTTTTATCAGCCGAATCGAATCGAAGCAAATAATTTTGTTAGTTCCAAATTATTTTGTTTTTGTTTATTTTAATGAAATTAGTAGACAGCTATACTTTTATATTTTTTTGTTCTAATTTTGTTACTACTGTTGAATTAATTAAATAACTATCATTTATTTGAGAGAGATTTCAAATTTTATTTGTTTCAAACTATTTGATTAAAACCTTAATTAAGTCAAAATATAAAATAGTTTTAATTAAGCCTAAATAATAGGTGGCTGAAAATTTCCTTTAATTTTAACAAACAAAAAAAGAAGATTGGATATATATTTTTGGGTTATAAACAATAACAAAAATTTTCAATTAAAATTTTAGGATAGAAATTTGAAAGATTATTTTCGTAAATATAATATTTGCAATTTATGATTTTCTTTAATTACTGAATACTTTCCATTTGATTATATCTAAAAGCGAAATATTTTCGATTTATCATTTTTGTCGTTTTTTTTAACGAAATTCCAAAATGCAACTAAAATTTGAAAAAACAATTAGAATTGATTAGCAATAGATTCTTTATTATTACATGAGAAAATTATTTTCGATTAAAATAATGGAAATTTTATTTGCTTCATTTTTTTCTATTCCATTAGAGAAATTAATTTGAAGTAAAGTAAAATTATTCGTTGTGTTATTTGCTAAAATATTTCAATCATTTCATCAAATTATATTTTTTTGTTTTTTAATTTATTACTATTAGCTAATTACAGACAGTATAATAAGGGAAATAAGAGCAATGAGAAATTATGCATAAAGTTTGTTTTTTGAAATAATATTTCTTATCGATAAGAGCCAAAAATGATATTGGAAGGAGTAAATAATCGAAAGTATCATCTTCTATCAGTTTCTACATTAGTTGTTAAAATCCCGATTAAGTTGTTAAAATTGAAATATCACTATGAATCGCTTTTATTAATTTTCTTTCCCAAAATTACTATTACCTATTCTTTGAACACTTTCTATTATCATCATTGTGTATTGTTATCATTATTCTTTATCAATTAATCAAATAACTTCCATACAGCTTTAATGAATTTACAAAAAAAGACAAGCGAGAAATTTCGAACATTTGAACAAATGACATTCGTAATTTCTCAGCTTTCTGAACTTTATAATTTCAGCAATTGTTTGTTTGATTTTTTTTAAAATATACCTTTGTATTTTATTGAATTACACCTTTTTGTTTTTTAGCTGTCAACAATACTAAAAATATAAAGAAATAGAATTTACAAGATAAAAAGATTAAAAATAGTTAACGTTAATGAAAATATGAAATAATGTATTATCTCATATGAACTACGTGATAATTAATTCCAATATATTCCTATATTTTCACAATGTTTTATGGTGAAGATAAAAGTCGCTTAATTACAGAAATTGATTTTAATTTCATTTATCAATTTCCAAGCAAATTAAGAATTAATTCTAAAATTGGATATTGAAAGTACACGATTGCTGTTTAAGATCGGATTGAAAATTAAAATTTCAATGAAAGAATGAAATTTAAAAAGAAATACGGGAGAGTTGCATGGAGATAATTAGGTAAGTACAAATTTTTAGGTAAGCACAAATTTTTTAGGTAAGTACAAATTTTTAGGTAAGCACTAATTTTTTAGGTAAGTACAAATTTTTAGGTAAGCATAAATTCTTTAGGTAAGCACTAATTTTTTAGGCAAGCACAGTTTTTTTTAGGTAAGCAAAAATTTTTTAGGTAAGCATAAATTTTTATCAATATTTTTTTGCTGAACGAAAACAAATTTTTTCTGTTTTAGTTTAACAAATAATATAAATACATTCTTTTGTGCTGCAATTATACACTGATAAGTAATTTGTTTTCAACGTTGTAATCAAATAAAATATTGTAACTGTAAAAGAATACACCTTAAAAAAAGAACAATAAATTGCTATATATCAGTTTTTCAAAACTTAACGAGAAGATGAGAATGAAGATAAGTTGTTCTCGCAAAAATAACTTGTTCGCATCTTTTCGTTAAATTTTAATTTTTAATTTAACTTTAAACATCATTTAGAAAGACTAGAGGAACAAATCTTTGCCTGGCAGTTGTTCTATTCCTTTCGTTAAATTTTAATTTTAAATTCAACTTCAAATATCAATTAAAAAGACTATAATAATTGCTTAATGAAAACAAAGCAATGATAAATTTGTTTAATTTTTTGTTTCATAATTAAATTATTGGCGTATTTTAAAATAAGCAAAATTTATTAAAATGATTCTAATCGATGAAAATTTGTAAAAACTATTGAATTTTAATTAAATTTTTTGTTGCACTTAAAATTTTAGAATAATTATCATTGAATTTGCTATTTATTTTTTCAATTCCATTTCATTATTTTTTGCTAATTAAAAACTAATTATTATACTTAATTGCTTGTCAAATAAGATCTTTAATAACTTCTGATATTTAATTTATCGATGACAATAATGCTATTATCGTTGGTTTCGTGATTTTGCCCAGTTTATCAGCAGGTTTTTTTGTAATTTGCAAGTTTTCTTACCGATAGCTTTTATCATTAAAATTTGTTATTCGCATATCAGGAAATTATTGGACGGACTAATAATATATTTGGGATTTATCCTAAAACAAAAATAATCATCAATGCTTCAAATATGTATCATCCTATTCCCGGTCCAAATGGTTTACTTTCAATGTCAAATCCAAATGAATCACTGACAAACAATGTTGCGTTATGTTGCGGAACAGCGGTTTGCATTGCGTTGCGGAATGAAAGTGATGTGTTACAGAGCATAAGAATGATTATGCAATTTATCACTGAATTGTATTATTGACTTGTGTCTTTTGATATTACTTAATTTATCGAATGAAAACAACCTATGAAATATAGTTGTATTGTTATCAAATAGTATTTATCACAATTTACTTGTTAAGATTATCATGTATAATAAATTTGCTCATATCATAAGTTATTAATTCGTACCAAAATGAGTGCTTCAATAATTTTAGTATAACTTCAGTATGACTTCAACAATTCCAGTACAACTTCAATAATTTCAGTATAACTTCAATAATTTTAGTATAACTTCCATAATTTCAGTATAACTTCAATAATTTCCGTATAACTTCAGTAATTTCAGTATAGTTACAATAATCAGCACGACTTCAGTAATTTCAGTACGACTTAATAATTTTAGCATGGCATTAATAATTTAAGTATAACTTCAGTAATTTCAGTATAACTTCAATAATTTCCGTATAGCTTCAATAATTACAGTATGACTTCAATAATTTCAGCATAACTTCAGTAATTTCAGTATAACTTCAATAATTTCAGTATAACTTCAGTAATTTCAGTATGAAATCGATAATTTCAGTATAACTTCAATAATTAAAGGACTTCTAAGACCTGTTTATAATTCGAAAAATATGTGATTGTTTTAAATTTTTGTGCTTAGTTTTTATCATTTAGCTTTCATT